GGTGGCAACTCATTGAGTGTGCAAGCCACCATTCACGACGGCAGGAACCTCGTGAGCTGTGGAGATCGGCATGATAAATCCACAGGAAGGCGACGAAGAAGGCAGCGGGGGCGAAGATTTCATTCCGATTGACAATGAGCAGGACGAGGTTACGTCGTGCCAGGTGACCTCACGCCACAAGAAGTACCGCGAGGCAAAAAAAGCCATGATCGCCGCGCTCAAACAGAAGCATGCCGACCTGGAATCGACTCTCAAAAGCCTTCGTGTGGATAGAGTAGGCATGTATCGGACGAGGGTTCTAACGTGGAAATGCATCGCGAAGGCCCTCAAGGACAGTTGCGATGCTGAACATCGACAGAACCGAGAACTGCGCGCCACGATTCACATGTACCAGCGCTTGTTGCGGGAAATGACATCTTGGGTCAGCGTGCCGGTACTAGCTCTAGAATTGCACAGTTGGTGTGACCGCAGTCTCTCTTCGTAGCGAGGTATTCATTCCGCTGGTCCAACTTGGCGCGACACCACAATTTCATCCGATCCCATTTCCAGGCGCATGGGAAAGGAATGGATTGTCCAGCGCATGTTTCACAACACCGACATGATGTTCCAGCAGCATGGGTTTCCCCCGTGGGATTCCACCGACACAGACATGTGGAGGGACATGGAGATCTCTGTCTGGGACTCGGGCAGTCTGTGCACGACGCGGAGGCATTTTGTTGCGGATCAGTCCTTCGAGAGCACCGTAGCGTTTGTGCGGGAGGAGTGCCTCTCGACGCTTCTCATCCAAGCTCCAAAAGCAAACGTATCGAACACCCTGTCAGTCGTGACGTGGTTCATTTTCGTGAGATAGATCACGCGAGAAGCCGACGCGAATACGCAGCTCTATACCGTTGTGTCGGACTGCGGCGAGTTGGTTCATATTCTGTGTGGGGAGTTCCGGCAAGGCCCGGACCGGTGCGTTTTCGTGCTGCGTCAAATCACACACGATGACAGTCGGCAACACCTAAACGACTCCAAGTACCGCCAGCGCAGTCGAATGCTGTGGTACTGACGGGGTTGGTAGACTGCGGACTCATGGGATGACGGTAGGTACGACTACGTCCGCGTACCAAACGGCCGAACGAGGAAGCGAGTGCTGGGGCTTGTCACTAGCTGTCATGTCACCCACGAGTTCGACTTGAATGTGGAAGCTGCCATGTTTGGACTTGACCTGACCGACTGCCCCGATTGCCTCAAGGAAAGCCGCTTTCGCAACCACGTCATTGCGCGATGGGATCGCTTCATGTCGTCGATTGAAGCTTCGCTGAAAAACCCGCTGTGACCCATTATCTCGTGTATTTAGTTTTGAGGAATCCAGCAAGGCAAGCATCGCTCGAGGCTTGCATGGCCACGACATGCCATCAAAAAATACCATTCGACCTTTCACGGCAAATGGGACGTCCTGTTATAGCTCGGGACTGTGGCGATCGGGCTCTTGGCGACAATACGTTGTTCCTGGACCGGCGGGGGATATCACTGCTGGAGCATCCATTGCACTCAACAGGTGACTTCAGGTGGGAGAACAACCAGCACTCAATCGAGACAAAATGGTGGACAATGCGACCTACTACAAAGTCACTGCAGCATGATGCCTTGCAGTCTTCGAATGAACGTTCGTCCAGGGCTGTGGCGACCGGGTAATGGGCACCTTGTTTGCATGAACCTGGCATTACAGGATAGCGAAGAACGCCAACCAACGCGATCTGAAGCAGGGCCAGGACGAGCTCGAAGCGCTTTCAACTCAACGTTCGCAAATGACACAGTGTGAAACCTTGACCCACGTTCTGTCATGCAAGCACGTATCACCAGCGCTGAAAGGTGCTTGAAATGAATTGTGCAGGCATCGAGACGCGCCAGCGCAGAGTTGCCTGTACCACCACAATTCCTGATGTAGCCACGACGGTCCCGCCGATTCTGCTTATCGCGCGACTTTTACGACGCGTTCATGAGCTCGGCGTGTTCTGAGCATGACCCGGCGCCATTTCGTCGCCACCGAAACTTTCGAACACGCCGCGGTCTTCGTGGGGAAGCATTGCATCGCGACGCGTCTTGCGCAATGCCCAAATGGCGACATATGCCTGCTTTGTCGGAGAGTTCAAATTCGGTACAAATATTTCAACGCAATGAGCACGGAGGGCGGCAAGCTTACCAATGTCCTTTGTGGCGATCGTATCAAGCTCGTCGATGAGGCCACGACGCCCTGAATAGCGTAGTCCTTCTTCCATGCCCCCAGTCGACGTAAAATTGCCCTTGACAAATCGATGACTGAAGAGCTTGAGATGATCCTGAAGAGTGGCACTCATCGACGACGATTTAAGTCACAGCTGTGTGAGATTCGACGTGGAGCGCAAGAGGCAAAATTTCTCTCACGGACTCTAACTAGCAACAGATTTGCTCAGACCAGCTTCAGCTTTGGGGCTGGTGGAGGCGATTCCCCGCAGACGCATACCAGTGTATTGAGGCATGCTTGTGCTCTGGAAGCGCCTGCTTGTGTGCTGCTGCCTGACTCACCGCTACGACGGTTCTCTGTGACCTTGTAGCTTGATGGGGGACTAGCCTTTCACAGGAGATGCAGCAGTCTCTCTCTCCGAACAATTCCCGCACCAGGACAGTCAAGCAGCAACTCAATTGGAACATCACCCTAACCCAGACGGTCCCTTTGGCAATGCATTCTCGACACTTTTCTTGAGTGATGTCACCGAATCTCATGCGTCCAGCGAAACGATCCGGCGTCCTTTTCTGACCGAGTCGTGCCAATTTTCAAACGTCCAGTCAACCCGTTTGTCATCGCGGAAGGCATCAATCGGTGTCGAGCGCAAAGACGATGCGAACGCCAAGTTGGAGAAGTCTCGTCATGTCGGACCGTCAACTCTACTGGAGCTTCTGCACGAGCTTGCGCGACTAGTCTGTGCTCGAGCGGAATGGGTCGTGACGAGAGCGTACTAGCCAACACAACAACGCACGCCTTGTGAAGTCTTGACTCTCGTTCAAGAGGTCAAGGCACGCCCCTGTGCGGCGACTGCCGGCAACTCTACTCGACGACGACGTGTGGCAAGGGAGGTCAACAACTCAACTGCCCAAGAACGCTCCGCTGTGTCCGTGAAGGACACAAGGTTCGTGAGGTCGCCCACACTGTCGAAACGTGCACTCGTTGAGGTGATCGCGGCAGTTGGCTAGCGATAGGCCGAGAAACTCGCACCGACGTCCACGGTGAAGTCTTGACGAGGACGGTGGCAACTCAGGTCTCCGCAATTGTCCACTCGGGGTTCTGCGCACAGCACAAAGGACAGACTCGATGCTACCAGCTCCACACATCACAAGTGCTCAACTGAGTGGGTTCAAGCGATGTGGCTTGCTCCATGAACGACATCAACTTGGTCGAACCATCCACGACAGTTGTCGATACCGGCACCTTTGCACTTAACCCGAGCTCCCGGTCTGCGAGAATCCCAACAAGGTCACTAGGAAGTCCAAGTTGAGCTCGTCGGCGAGCTCAGCCAGATGGCTTGAGCAAGTCTGGACCACCAATTCCAGCTCCTCCTTCTTCAGTGGGACAACTCTCGACTTCTTCGCCACGGGCACTGCTGAGGTCGTTGGGGCGGCACATCTCGTGAACGATTGGTTCGGTCGTCGTTGATTTTCTGACCGTGGTGGCAATTCCTCGTCCATTGACAGGCAGTCGATGTGCCCATGACGCCGTGCGACGTCCACATGGCACTACGCTTCGGCGACGTTTTCGCAGATTTTGTCTCCGAAACACACCCGTGTGGATCTTGTGTCGCACTCGTCACCAGCTCCAAATGAGTTCTGAGGTACGTACGCTCCACTTGTAGAAGGAATAAGTCGATTACAGGATCCAGTTGGGCCGACAATGGAAGCAGGAAGGACGGGGAGGATCGTGAATTCGTGGCTTGGAGTGACGACGATCAATATATTTGATTCGACCAACGAGATGTCGAGTGCTCGAGACGTCACAGCCCTGTTAAATCGTTCGTTTCACTCGCAAATCAACCAGCCAAAGAATAATGGCAATCTTGCATCGTTTTGTTTAGCGTGTAGCCAGCGGCAGGGTAGTCGATTCGCGACCGCAGCCGGCAGTGAATCAAGTTGACGACATGCTGCCGCAGACGGGTTTCCTTCAAGTGGTCTGGACAATCCACGAGGGAGAGCCCAGTCATGCTTGCTTCAGCATCCAGGTCCAGCTCTCCCGAGAAATGGCAGTTCGACACAAACGACAGCACGCGTTTCCTTGTTCGGCCGTCTGCAAGGCGCGTGTAGTCGAACCTAAAGTTGAATCGTTAGGTCCACATGCCAGAAACCTTTACAAGAGTCGACCAAATATTGCGACTTCGCTGGTGAAGGTGCGCCGACGGGCTCTGCGCGTCGTCGTCGACGATATGTCGCAGAACAAACGTGCATCGATCCGGGCCTTGGTGGAACTCGGCCCAGAGGAGATGGATGTATTCACCGACGGAAGTAATGACTGTGCCGAGTTTAGTATTGCCATCACATTCGTGAATGACCTACGAGCCGAAGTGAGTGACCAAGCACGACACAGTGTTGAGTACGCTGTCTTGAGGGGCTTCGATGAGAATGGCTTCCAACCAATTTTCCCGCACGAACGCCACCGATTGCTCCAGCGTTTGCGGTGAGATGAAGTTGCGGCGAATTTTGCACAGCGTCCCGGTGTCGGAGACCGTAACGTCCACGTCACACCACACATCGACGCATTGGTCGTCCCTCGACACAAACCCATGCTGCTGGAACATGGCGTCCGTGTTGTGGATCATTCTCTGGGTGATCCACGTTTTGGCCATTCTTCTCGACTCAGGGTGGATCGGAAGACTTGTGTCGCGCCACGTCGTGCTCGTTGGGTCCAACTCCCTCTGCACACCAACGTTTTCAACACGGCAGCGCGCTAGAACTCCAACGCACCGTTAAAGCAGCCCACGGTGCCAAGTCATTCACGAGTTGATGGAACGCTTGAATCTTGTCCCTTAAGTCTCGATTCTGGCGCCTCGATTCCTCGCTGCTATCTTTCAGCGCCAAAGCAATGTTTTCCCAAGATAGACTCGCAGGCTGCCGCGCTCGCCGTTGTTCCTTCTCAAGTCTCTGAATCGCATCTTCGAGTTCGGCCTTGACCTTCTTCAGTTTGTCACACCTGGCCTTGACAAGGACGCGATAGATCTGGTGCCGACTTGGACGTGAGGGCGCTTTGGGGCCGTCGCATTCCTTCGTGCCATCCTCGGACAGCCAAACCTTCGCCATCAACGTGTTCAACGAATTGTGTTGATTCGTGATGATGAGGTGATCATCCAAACATCACACCACCACATTCGATTGGTGTTACAAAATCCGCTATATAACAGCACCCTATACTTCCACGTAGAAATTCACTATGACTGGATAATTGAATGCCTTGATCACGCACACGAGGGAGAGATAGTTTAAGTGAGCGAAAGTCCATGATCGGTGAGATGTTTATTAACAACAACCGAACTACAATTAGCATTCATGGTAAAAGTCACCCACCGTTTATATCGTTTTTGATGGCCACAATCGCAAGGACCTCGATGGCATGTAGTGTTTAAAATCGCCAGACATTGAGCGCTAAGGTGTGTATCGTTCACCGACGCACGGAGGTCCTTCGTCCACCTTTTCTAGGTGTCGAAAGCCTGTTTTTGAATGAGGTACGAGGACGGTGTCGATGCGACCCGATTTGTTGCCTGGCTTGGGCGGCGCTTGAAGTTGTCAGTGGTGACTTTCCTGTTTCACTGAAATTCAAATTTCACCCACATCGTACTGTTGAACGGATGCCAACAAGAACGAACAACACCGAACACTCGTCGTGTTTGAAATGCTGGTTGGGGTTCCAGTGCGAGGTAAGCATCTAGCTTCGATCGAAGCCCACCCTGACACGAACTCTCAGGTCCATGATCAGGTCGGATCAACAATTTTGCTTCAAATTCTCCCGGGGGAATTACCAATCGTGATTCGCCGGGCATGTCCCATCGCACATGCAACAACGCGATCGCAACGCGCACAGCGACGGCGTCAAGGCGATTTGTCTTGACCACACCAGTCTTGGCTTGAAGGCAGGTGCTTTCAAGACTAATCTCCGAAAGAGCGGGGATTCATCTCGGCCCAAAGCGATGTATCCCGCCAAGTTGGTTCGATTCAAGACACTCCACTCCAATTTGGCGCAGTGCGAGAGGACATTTCAAAAATGTAAATGAACCAATGACAGAGCTCCAATTGTGCATACATTTTTTGGCCAATCATTATCTGAGACGTTATCTGATCCAATCAAAGGTCAGTAAATGACCTCATCATTATATACCAATCATTCACTAAGACTCTATTTTTTTGCGTGTTGTTTGATGTCCACCAAGAGTTGACTGTAACAATGTCGAAAATCATCTCAAGAGGAACCACATGCCGAAACCTTTTGAATGTTGAAATCTGCCTGCGCAAGTCCGATTTCAGCGTAGTGTTATTGGCAGCCTGCAAATACGATCTTGGATACCGTTGGAAGGAATTTGTGTTGTGGTCGCGGTTGCTACACTGGGCATTCGAGCCCACTTCCTTCCTACACTAAAACGCTCAGGCGAGGCGCTCGGCGCTGACGAGAGTCGATCTGTGGCTTTGTGGGGTCCTCCACAAGTCGTGTGTGGTCATATCTGCCACAGGATTGAATTCGAGAACAAACGTCTTCGATTTGTGAACCTCGGGGAAGGAGGAGAAAACCGAAAGAGCCGAATCGTCGTGGTTTCGGGGTTTCATGTTTCGCAAAGGACATCGCGGCATGCAATAAATCGCAGCGGCCACATTTTGTCTGGACGCCAATGCCTCAGCGTTGGTCTGATGTCGCTGAACACCGACACGATACGAGTGAAAGTTGCATGCTCAGAGCGTGAAACCTTCTAGATATCACGGTCCACGTGAACTGTCGCTTGCAGCTTCACCGACAAGCGCCAAATACGTGTCCGGTTCACAGAAGCAGAACGCCATGTTGAATTGGACAGTCCACGCACTCGATTCAGCTCATTGTAAGCATCACAAGATGCAAAATATGCAATCAATCATTCCTCGTATCTCTTGGCCAAGCAAGAACGGCATCGAATCCCACCCTGGCCATGCATAACTACTACTGTCATCACAGCGGTGTAACAATTCGTGTCGTTGAAAAGAATTCTTCAAATAAATTACATACAAAGACGCATATATTGTGTCGTTGTTCAATTCTACGGTCCACCAAGTTTGAAATTCGATGGTGGATGAAGACGGGCTCAGTCCACAAGAACGGCTCGAAAGGCATACAGCCCTGCCACACGTCCGCATCAGTTCTGAGCGCATGATATCAACGGTGGAATGCGCCATTCAAAGCAATGCGAGCGAGGCGCTGGCCCAAGGGATGACCGGCCGAAAGCACCGCAAGTACAGGGCCAACAAGAAGCTTGAGAAATCCAAGCTACGCCAGCGACTGCATGACCTTGAGAACGTAACACAGGGGCTAATTGAAGAGAGCCGGTCGAGGACAGCCATGTTGTCCTGGAGAAGCATCGCCGTGGCGCTCAAGGACAGCCGGGACATGGCGCATCGTCGGAATCGGGTCTTGCGCGCCAAGATCCACCTCACCAGCCAGTTCTTGCGCGAAGTCGATGCGTGGTTTCAAGTGCATGCATGCGCACTCAAGAGCGGCGTGCAGTCGGACCGAATGCAGCACATCGAGCACACTCAGTTTCGTCGCTTGAGCGTAAAGATTTCCCAATTTATCCACATTTGCATGAAAGACGAGGTCGAGAACGACTGACAAGCGACTTTGCGCGGTAGTCGTGCCAACGCTTTTCGAGTGCGATTTGTTGGAAGGGCGACTCGATTCCCACGTGTTAGATCCATCACAGGATAAATCTCCAAACACTTTACCTTTCGAGCGGTGTTTGGCATTGCTTGTTGCCCCCACAGGTGGCGTTGCCATTGTTGCAACTGCCTGACTTCGACACAAACGGTGTTTTCGCTCAGACGATACGCCCATCCTAGCGTGTGCCCCTTTCAATCAGCTACATGCGTTGTGGCGCGGAAGGTCGGGCTACATATTTGAAAAATATCCAGCATGTTGACCGCACCAGGAGAGAGGGGGGGCAATGAATGTCCAGTACGGTGGTTAAATATGCAAAACTATTTGGCGCTGTACTAATTCTTGTCGTCATGGCCAACACTGACTTCGTTGCTGGAGAAATCGCCCGTGTCATGGCACGTCGCGCTATGTGATATTCAACTTGGTCGAGTGTTTATGTCTTCTCATTCGGAAAGGACGATGCATGATGGATTCCTCACAAGGCGATGGAATACCAACCTAGAGCATCTCCTGCGCATGGGCATGGCTTTGTCCACATCAGTCGTCGGATTCCAGAAATGTAGTTGTTGATTTCTGGGCTCGACTTGCCAACTTACGACCAAGTGCACCGAGGGGAGATGCAACATTTTGTGACCACTCACCCCCGTGACGTGAACAGCATTCCAAGGACGCTTCGTACCCCGTAATATGATCCGTTTGCGAGGAGCGATGGTTGAATTTTCCTGGTTTCACAAGAGGAAGCTTGAATGGTTGAATGCACGGGACACATGCACCCGCCGGGCACACCAAAGGGAATATTAACTCGGTGGAGGGGAATGCAAACACCATCCACGTTACCACAAGCTGTACTCAAAGGGAGAACAAGGGGGCACTGGACCCGGTCTTGGAGTTTATTGTGTTGGGGACGCCGTGACAGTTAGGGACATGCAGAAAGAAAATGCAGACCCACCTGTGTTTTGCCCGAGAACACGATTTGAAAGGAGCGAAGAATTCGTCGACGGCCACGTGCTTTTCAAAAATTTCCACTGGTTTCATGAATCATTGTCACTTTCAGATCCGACCATGCCATCGCGATTGTCGGCGACTGTCAATAAAATGCCTCCATTGACTTCCTCAACATGGCGCAATCGAAAACGATGAAGAGGCGTGTAAGGCTATATACACATGTCGGCCCAAGTCCATCCCAGAGTTGAATACACGAAAGGAGGGTGAACGAAGGAACTGGACAAATCGCATCCGTGACGTGCCAGCAGTTAAAGGAGCGGCAGGACAGAGTGTTTCTTTGGAGCCCTGGCCAGCGACGGCGTTGACCTTTGTGTCGTCGATATGCGCTGGAGACAACTCTGGCCGCCGTCGAAGAGGAGACACGGCGCAGTGAAAATCAACTTTACAAAATGCACAAAAGGCATACCTCGTGAACTTGGGTCGAGGTTAGCTTTGCAGCGTTTTCCATTCGCACAGAACGCCACGGAAGGTAGGATCGTGGCGTAGCATTGGTACGCTGACTCTTGTCGGGTTATCCACTTCCATTGGTTCGACAAAGGAATTTTCCATTGCTGTCCCTCCATCAAATCCACGTGTCCTCGGCATCCATGCATCGCTCTTCATGGGGGTTTCCGGTTGGACACGGCGCCGACTGCGCGGCGAATATGTTACGCAAGCCGAGCGAAGTGACATCGACTGGATGAACCAACTCGACAAAACCCTGGCGGTCGACGTTCGTCGTCGGAAGACACTTCGGCCACGAACAGTTCACTGGCGGCCGTGGAACGGAGCAGGGGGGCTTCACTCAAACGTGGTTGTTTACAGTCGCACACACGACGAACGTATCAAACTGGCCACGATTCAGGAACGTCGTCACACAAGAAGTTGCTGGAACGACGTTTTCATGCATTGCTGCGGTTCCGCCGCCATTCTTCCACGTAGACTGAGGTAGGTTGCGAAGGCATAAAGGTTGGCACCATAGCGGCATTGACTTTTGTTAAAAGAAGTTGCAATCGACTCAAAACGAGGTATACACTGGCACGGCTCCAGCTGCTTCCAATCCCCCAACCGATCGTGTGGCATGGCCAGGCTGATCGCTCGCCCGAGTTGGTGGGCTGGGTGGGACATGCGGATATCACCCCACCGACACTCGAAGTACAAATTCGAACGAAACACGTCCAAGCACGAGATGAAGCCATTCAAACTGTGTCCGAGGAGGGAGACTGTGGTGAAGGCTAGTTAACAGCGTTAGATTGCATATTCATACCTGACAAGCGAAGGATGAAAGCGGTAGCTCGGTGGCATAATTTGGTGACGCCATGTATCGGGATGATGGAATGCGCCAAGGAAAGTCAGCAGGGATCTTTGCAGCTCAGAACATCACCTCGTAGTTTGCCGATAACGTCAGTAGAAGATGCCCTTCGATACCTTCACCACGATGGCCGGCTGGATGATCGCACTACGCTATCCCCACTGATTTTACACCACAAACTATAGTCTGCAGCGACAAAAGGGGAAAACAAACGGATGCGAGAGACTTGTCCAAGCACTCGACATCTCTATAGCTAGTGTTGGCGGGACTCTGTGCGGACTCGCCAGAGTTGCCGACGTCAAAATGTGCCATCGACCGGATCTGCCAACACCACATACGTATATCTTTCTAGCATCATGTCGTGTAAATTCACGACGTGGTGACAACAAGGCAGTGGAATGGACCCATCCGTGCGCAGTAATAAATTATCCCAACCCATGCCTCGAATCAACATGTCGGTGTTTGGGGATCGGGATTGAGGTAGCTCATGTACGCCAACAGGGTATCCACAAGTGTCTCTCCCCGTCACGGTGCCCACTGGGTGGACATAGCGAACGCGCACCAAGTCATCCCAGGGGTCCAGAAATTCCCAACGGACTCTGGAGTACCTGCCTCGAATCTTGTCCATGTCGAGGGAGATTTCACCGACGTGTTGGGCATGCAGTTGAATGGAAGGATGGTCGAGGGAGAGTTTCAATTGTTACATAGCGTCGTTCTTGCAAACACAGACATTACACGACATTTGTTGCAGCATGCGAAGAGTTGGGTATTTTATTGCGGCACCACCACCTTGACAGAACCATCGGCCTGACCAAAGAACGCCTTGGACGCCATTTTCACAAACAGTCCAACTTCGACGACACCTGGGAGGAGCTTCAGGGTCTTTTCGAGGGATTCGGGGTCTTGAATGATGCCAAACTAATATTCACTCAAGTGTGAGTACACGTGGCGAGCATGTTCAACTGACGTGAGTGTCGAGGATGAGGTTGCCGTTGTCGGTCACCACTGGCCCCGCCTTGGCTTTGGCCATTCGCAGCACGGGGGTTCCATGTAATTCCTTCAATTTCCGCATCAGCGGCACGTACGCGAGTGGCACAACTTCGATAGGGATCCCTTGGGTCCATTGTTGCCCCAAGTGCGTCGACTCCTTGCGATAGTCGGCCACAATCACGAACTTCTTCGCGTTGAAAATCACAATTTTCTCTTGGAGATGGCACCCACCGCCGCCCTTGATACAGTTGAGCGCCGTGTCCACTTCATCCGCGCCGTCAATCGCGATGTCGATCACAGGGTGTGTGTCGAAGTTGGTCAGGTTCAACTTATGCTGTGCAATAAGTTGAGACGCCTGGAACGACGACGGAATGCTCGAGATGCGAAGGCCTTCGTTCGCGACGCGTTCACCGAGCCGTTCTGCAGCATACACTACTGTCGAGCCTACGAATTGCATTCGATGGTACGCATCGATACCGATGGAGTGGTGGACAAGATCGTTACCGCTCCCAATGCCAACGACATCGCCATCCTTGACAAATTCGTCCACGGCGGCGCGGGCGGCCTACTCAACGTATCAGGATATGATCACGTCGCGAGAGACAAGTATCGCTGGATGGCGCACGCACCAGGCGCTTGGCACTTTCGACGGCGGACATGACAACCGAGATGGGCAAACCCAAGATGCCATGCTTGACCGTTGACAACATTTTGCATATGGGTGCCCATTGCTTTTCAGCCAATCAAATCGAGGTATAGTCGAGCCAATCAACGACAATTCTTTCTGTCGCAGGCCAATGGGAGTGGAGGATGTACGAAACGTCTTGTATACGCAATCGCTTTCGGATACTAGAGGACGTTCTCAGGTATCCGTAGTGGACGTTTGCTTCAACTCCATCGTACGAATTGACCCACCAAGTGCTGTGTCGTCTAATTACAAAATGGCGGCACTCGTCCGCACTTTGGTCATTGCAGCGATCGTGGTCGTGGGGGCCACGTTGGCGGCGAACGAATCCCGCCTGCACATCGTGTACAGCACCAGCTGCAATCAAGGAAAGCGCCAGCTCTTGTCGTACGCCCTTCAGACCTCGGCGATGGCGGTCGGCCAGCAAGGCAAGATGACAGAGATGTTGTCTGGGTGCACTCCCGTGGAAGAGGCGACCATTGCAGCGGAACCATCGTTCTACCACACGTTCAGCCGCCATTTCACTCCATCGTACTCGCCCCACCCAGTTTCAGGTGTCAACGACGACTACACGCCATACAACAAACCGTTTGGGCTGCGTCACTTTCTTCAGACTCCCGGTGCAGTTGCTGACGATGCGATCGTGGTATTGTTGGACGCCGACTTCATTTTGTTCAAGCCCATTGAAGTCAACACTGGTCGCAGTATGCGCAAGTATTACAAGGGACGCCGCACGGACATGATCCTAGACACCGTCGAGAACGGCGTCGCGATCGCGCAGGACTGGACAGCGTACATTGGAAGCGGGTGGCTCAACCCCTCGAGCAATGTCAAGCCTTTTCTGTGCAAAGGTACGTCCTGTGGTAATGTTGCAGTTGGTTGATGATGTGGCAGTAGGTCAGCCGTGCATGAACGTGTCGGAAGCCGACGCAATCGAGTACTTTACTTCAACGGGGCCGCCATACATCCTCACAAAACACGACGCGCTGCTCATGGTGGACGACTACTGTGCGTTTGTCGTTGAAGGACGGAAGCACGTCGACAAGGACGAATGGATGCCAGAAATGTACGCTCTGGGTGTGGCGATGGCCAACCACAACATCAAGCAGACCAAGGTGACAAATCTCGGTACAACTCGAGTCCGTCCCAAGTGCAAGTAGTCCTCACGATGGCCTTTCATGTAGGTGTGACGTTTCCCGATCACGACGTGTCCGAGTACTGGAATTTTGCGAACGAGTCGCTGCCAAACCCATGCCAAGATGCGTTCGACATCGTTACGCCAGTCGATCCGCCGCTGGGAGTCCACTATTGCTACCCCTACGGCCTCCTGTCCCCACCCGAACCGAGCTGGCATTTCACCAAGTACCACCTCCCCGCCGACATTCTGGACTGTCAGTCGATGCTGCTGACGCCCCACCCGCCGTCACAGTGGAATGAGATTGCCAAGTTGAAGCCAAAGTTGCAACAGAAGAAGCGTCATGAAGTCTGGGTCGAGTGCACCCTCGTAAAGGTGCTCAACAACGTGCTTCTCCAGGCCAAGCAAGTGCTGTGTCCCAACGGCTTCAACTCGCATCGAGGAATGAGTTTAGATCGAGATGTGTTTATTCAGACGGGGCTACCGGCCCCAAAATAACTGTGCTAAATGTCGCCAGAGTCGTCCTCGATATCTTCGGAGCTGAGCAATGGCGCCATGGGGCCGTGGTGAGGAGAATCCACAGACACATCCAACGCGGCAGCTGAGATTCTATGGTCACTGCGGTCACTACTCGACTTTGACAGGAGGCACGACACTCCCGTCGCAACCACATACAGCGCCAGTGACAGGATGAACGGAGAGCTTTCACTTGCAACGCTCCCACCCTGACTGGCAGAGTACAGCGCCGAGTACGCGAGCGGGCCAGTGGCGGAGGCGAGGGCTCGCACGGCGTACAGAGCTCCTTGTACACGTCCTTGTTCCTAGAGCATCCAAGGGGGTTCATGTGCAATTGGGACGACGGGGCGACCCAACCTGTTCAGAAACGTGCGTCGACTTGAGCGAAGAAATGGCGGCAAACCCAATGTCCCCAAAGCCAGAGCAGGCCGCAACGATGAACACGACAACCTTGGATCGAGTCGAGAGGACAACGAGGTAGAGACCGCTCATGACTGCATAGGATGCCATCGAGATCACAACGACCCCTCGTTCACGGACGAACCGGATGAGCGGGTGGAGGAACAGGCCCTGTGAGAGCATCGAAGCGACGCCCACGACAAGGAGGAATGCTGCGTTGTCATTCTTGTTGAACCCGAGCTCAGTCTATGCTGTAGAATGGGATTCAGATGAGAGACGCGCCTACGTACGTTGAAAAAGTAGAGCCGAAACGACATGAGGCCAGCGCTGACAAAGGTCGAGAGCGCGATGACGATGCTGAGGCGGCGGAAGAGACTTGTCTTGAGCAGGATCGTCATGGCGCGGAACGGGTTGATTCCAGTGTATGACGGGGCTCGGCACGACATGGACAGGGTCTCCTTGTACACGAAAACACACCATAGCACGCGAAGGATGTAGAAGCCGCAGGAAAGGAGGAGGATCATGTACTACCACAGACGTGAGTGAGGTCGAGAAGTGAGTTCTACCGTGTTGAAATGCTCGGTGAGTGCAATCGCGAGGGAGAAGAACACGGATTGGATCGCAAAGAGACCACCGTACGCTATGATGGAGAGTTACAGAAGCGGCGAAGATGAAGGTGCTCACCAGTTGTGCGGTTTTCGGGGGATATTGTGTCGGCTACTGATGCAGCGACGACAGATCCGGTCAGGAAAGAATTGTAGACGAACTTGACGATGAAGTAGACGAGGATGTTGTGATTGAAAACGGTGAACAGCATGATCGTAAAAGGGTAAACCACATGCAGCACTTGAGCTGCAACCAAGAACGGCTACAAGGGTTGACGTGAAAGGAGTCTGTACGACCGAAACTTTACCTTGCGGCCATAGATATCCGAGCCTTGCCCCATGAGGGGCGTGAGGATGAAGCTGACCAAAGACCCGAGGGACGACGTAGCACTGGACCACAGATTAGCCTCCGCCGATCCTTGGACACATGCAGTTGCATTGCTGAACTTGACGCAGTCGATGGGAATTCCGTTGTTGTGCTTCTTGGCGAAGTACTACCACCAAAGGTCGCAGACATAGTTATCCGACGATCGAAGGGGAGTACCTCGGTGGTAGCTATAGGGAGCACGGGCACAAGGAGGCCGTAGGAGAGCGACTCTAGGATTGTGAGGAACACCAGTGGGTAGATCGCCCACAGCACGACATGGATCGGCGCGAGGGACACTTCCGCCGACTTCATCGGATTATCCGATCTTGGAAGCACATTGTTCTCTATAAGTCAATATTCGCGTCCCTTCTTCTCTGGTGTTATTGATTGTTAAAGGTTTTCCTCCCACTTTTGAATTTGCCACCTCGCGCGCAAATCAACGTGGACATCCAAGATTGACCACGAGATGTACCCGACACCACTTTTTTACGGAGATAGACATTTTTCCAGCGCGAATGTGCGGTTATGTCGTGTGCTGAGCTTACCTACCATGTACTCCATCTGTGTACACCAGCAAGATTGGTGAAGCGTTCCGCGACCACGTGTGTACCAACCGTGGCTTCATCTTGCACGTTAACTTTCATGTTCTGTCGATGTTACCGGTCACTTGATGAGAAGGGAATGAGCCGTAGGAATAGGGTGGGTCAATTGTTGCTACTTTCCTTTACAGAACCTTCTTGGAGGGGGCCACGTTTGAAATCGACTGCGCGTACGAAATGAGTCGCTTCACGCTGGTGAGGTACTTTCGTTGGAGTTCATTGTTCATGACGTGGGCTTGCTTGTTGGAATTAATCTTTTCACGACCTGTGCGTTCGTGGATCCCTACCATCGTGACCCCAATCGGCCACGCGGCGTTTCCAATGGCCATCTTGATATAGGCGTCATTTGCTTGTACGAACTCGCCACTCTCGCAATATCGAACGATGTCCAATAGGTTTCTCAGAATGTCGTCCGGGACTTCGTGATGCTTGCAGAGCCGGAAGAGTGGGCGAATGTAGTCCTTGCACTGCTTCATCGTGCGTGTAGCAATCTTACCCTGCGCCGTCCGCTTCACCGTCTCCGGGCGCTGTCCCAACGCCAGCTCCCACTGACTCAACATCGACTTGAAGTACCGGTACACAATCATCTCATCGCTGTTCTCGTCCTTGTTTTCCTCCGTCTCGACTTCCTTGTCATCTTTGTCGGCCTGGATCTCCATTTCGCCACCTTGTGTCGAGTGGATAAGAGCTTCTAACCGATTCGCGCGATCTTGTGCGGTCTCTCCGAAGAGGGTCACCGGGTGCCCCAAGTTCCGCAACCGCTTCTTGATCTCCGATAAGCTCAAGTTCAGTTGAGCCTGCTGCGATGTGTTCCTGTCTTGAGTTGTGTCTTCAGCTACCGTGGTGCTAGCTTGCGAGGTCTCTTTTGCACCGTCGCTGCTAATGCGAGCGTTTGTGGTTTCTCCATCCTTGGCATTTTGTTCCTGCTCTGCTCGTTCGGCCGCCGCCGCGGCTTCCATGCGCTCCTTCTCTTCCAAGGCGGCTTCGATTTCTCCGCGTCGAAGGTACTTCTTCTTCACTGGAGCGCCACCGAGGGCCACAGCTTTCGCCTCCTCTCGCTGGCGCTTCAATGCCGCCATCTGTGCTTGGATCTGCTCCATCGTTGCTTCCTGCTGCTTCACTCGAACACTCGGATTTCGGATACGTCCAAAATTATACGGATACCGGATAACGAGCATTAACCGGAATTTGATGGTTTTTCAAGAAACATTGAAGCGCAGAGACCAACCAAAGCACGATGACGGTAGAGCTGAGCAAGACCGAGCGGCGACGCGCAGCGAAGGCCAAGAAGAAGATGGCTGCGAACATGGAGAAACAAAAGCGGCAGGAGAAGCGCGAGGAAATGAAGCAACGCCGCAGGGACCAAAAGATGAAACCCAAGCAAGGGTTCAACGAAAACGGGTGCTGGATCTGTGGTGCATCGGACCATCGCAAACAAGACTGCACTCAGGTAGATTCCACGCCTAAACGTCACTCTCTCAACATTTTTGCAGGGTATGTCCAACAAGAGCTGCTTCCACTGCCGGAAGAAGGGCCATGACATCAACTCTTGCCCGCAACGCAAGGGTGAGGGCAACGACAAGTGTTTCAACTGTGGCGAGACCGGCCACAGTCTATGGAAGTGCCCCAAGCCGAAGGTTGGCGATGGTACTTCATTTGCTGAGTGTTTCGTGTGCCAAGGCACGGGGCACCTGAGTTCCAAGTGCCCGTTGTCGGAAAAGGGCATCTACCCCAAAGGCGGGTGCTGCAAAGTGTGCCAGAGCAAAATGCACCTGGCCAAGGACTGTCCCCACAAAGACGGCCCCCAGAACACGAAGAAGGTGTTTGAAGACGACGACGACATCGACGATAGCATGAGCGGGACTGCGCCGAATTTGTTAGGTGGAGATGCCCTCGACAACGACAGAGACTTCATCGAAGACAACGAGGACGAGGACAGCAAGCCGGTGGCCGTGGCGAAGGTTGCACGGACGAAGAAGGTGGTCAAATTTTAAAGGAAAATTGATTAAATTACAATCCGACGACATTGTTATCCGGAAAAAGGACTTTCTTCAAGCGTGCAGTGACGAGCGGCCACTGCCGCCCAAGCAAGCCGCATGGACGACGGTGAAGGAACTCTGTCAATGGCTTTGGCATTCACACATCCTCCACCGCCGTTAGCACGAGGTAGCAGCATGGTGTAGATGATGCGAAGAGATTGCGGAATCGTCTTGAAACTGCGCGTGAAACGGCGTATGCATTCGATGTGGCGCGTCTGGTGCGCTGTCGCGTCGGCGGTCGTGGCGCAAACTACGCCAGGTCACTTCCTTTTTATGCCGACCCAGTACAGCCAAACGTCGTTGTGGGGTTCCGTGTCTGTCTTGGGTGCGTCAGTTCTACACTTGTTTCATGCACATGTCTAAGCGATCGCCAGTTCATCGTGGATTGGGAGCCGACGGCCCAGCGTCCGTCCTAGCCTCTTCTCGAGACGGCAGCGCATTGCAGTCGGTCCATTACGTCCCAATTGTCAACCATACGCTTCGCTGGGCGGATGGAGACGCATATCCTGTGGAAGTTTTCGTGCAGTTTGTGCCGCAGTCGACCAACCTGGAGAAGGACGTATCGTTCTTCCTTGACTTACACGATGCCTCGTCTTCAGTCTTTGCACCGCACGCGACCGCTGCGATCACGATCCAAGCAATCAACGGTATCTTACCTCATTTGTTTACTCACTCAGGCTGTTCCAGTCTTTCCAGGGGAAGTGGCCTTTGCTTCCAACACAATGTCAACTAAAATCCCAGCGACGTGGGACCCCCAAACACCGTTCCCCTTGAGCATTCCCGTCCATCGTCTCAAAGGCGCGTTTGGCCACGTCCAAGTGCCGTACGATGCGGTAGTCGGCACTGGAACGGCATTAACTGGACGCGACTACAACTTTGTCCAAGTGCTGCCGTTTTCACGCTTTCTAACTTGGTCGGAAAACGACAAAGACCCGAAAAACATTGAGCTTCTCTGGCTAAATCAAGATGTGTACCGCCAGAACTTGACATTCACGCTGCAGCTGTCTGCACCCACTGGTCAAGCTTTGCTTGGGGGCATAAACGCCATCACAGTCACGGTCGAAGGCAACGACTTGGGTGCGCCAATGTGTTGTGAGAGCATTACCATCCTAATTACCCGATTAGGTGTACCGGCGGGAGTACTGCAGCTCAAGGCACCGTGCTTTCCGACGTGTCCAGCCGAAGCATACACTGTCGAAGCTGCTTCGGCCGTCCGCATTTACGTCGAGCGCCAAAAGGGCTCGATGGGGGCAGTCTCGGTCACTTACTCGTGCAAGTCTCTCATACCAGGGCAGCCCCAAACAGGCACCTTAGCTTGGGTCGATGGTGACTCGGTTGAAAAGAGCTTTGTGCTGGTGACGTCTGGAACGAGTCCCACAAACACAGCTCATCAAGTTACGCTCTCATCCCCCACGAATGGGGCCAAGCTCAATGCGAACGCAGCATCCACTGCCGTGATCGTGACACCTCGTGACCAATTTGCAGGTAGCTAAATGCATTCGTTGTTGCATTCGTTTGACGACAAAGCGCTTTCGGAATTCGCGTACAGGGGGAGTGGTGGACTTTGTGTCCTTCACGAATGAGGAGCAGCTTCTGCAGCTGACCACGGTCCAAAGCGATATGCAACTCATGCCCGAATTGGATTACTGGGACTCGCGCATTGGTTTACCTAAACCGGTGCAAGTCACTGCGCCAGGCTCGCTCTCACTCCTTGTATGCAGCAACTATCCTTTCAACCTTCTTAACACGATGCACCTAGGTGCAACGTTCTCGGGGAAGTGCTGGTGTGGCCACCGTGTGTGTGCAAACTATTGACGGCACCGCCAAGGGAGGAGTGGATTTTGTGGCTCAGACCACAGTCCTGCAATGGCCGAGCGGTGATACCAGACCTATCGAAGTGAAAATGACCATACTGGCCCCTCCGTACACTGAATTGGACTCTTCTCGGACGTTTTCAGTCATCTTGACAAGCCCGTCCAACGTCCGAATTGGTGCATTCTATGAACTGCCGGTACGACTCGGTTCTCCTAGAAGAATGCTGATTTGTTTTGCTTAGCTTGTTATTCGAGGTGCCATGCAAACTCCTCGGCTGGTCACGAGTGTCCTGGACATGACAGCCAAGACGCTGGCCCTGACCTTTTCGCACCCGATTTCATCTGCGAAAGGCGCCCTCGTCTCGATTCTGAACCCCGACACGAAGGCCAAGATCACATTGACTTCGAATTCGGTCGTCGTGCAATTAAGTCCTGCCGTAGTACGCTTCCATGTCGTCCATGAAACACCACTCACGCACGGCCAGGTGCAACTCCAACTGGGTGCACAAGATTTTGTGCGGCTGCAACAAGCACCCAACATCGCGACATCGATCGCCACGTCGGCGCTCTCGTTCGATCCAGGATTTGCCGACTACGATAATCTGCAGTGCAAGTCCACCGACGTCCGGGGCTGTTTTCAGCCGTTGATGTTACCGCAAGCACCCATTTTGGTATTTATCGTATTTGAGTCGTTGGCTGACACCTAGGTGCAGGTGACGACGTTCATCGCAGACTCCGTCCGCCCCACGTTGGTGCGGTTTACATTCGATCAGCAATACGTGCAACTCCAGTTCTCCAAGGTCATGGATCGATCTAGTTTTCAGTGGATGCAGCTCTGCTCGTCGCTTACAGCCACAGCTTGTGTCCTCTTGTCGCCTCCTAGCCGCCTCATTCCTCGCGGTATAGAATCCACCAACTTCAACTCTCTGACGTGGCAACAGGAGAAGTCACGACGACCACTTTGCCCTTCCCAGTGGACGAGACGCTCTGGATCATTGGTCTGTCACCGCAGGACATGGAGCAACTCAGTGCCAGGGGTATCGGCCCCACCCGTGCCACGACCTTCATCTTCCTGCCTGCTGGCTTGCGGGACGTACAAGGCAATGTTTACCAAGGCGCCACCGTGGTTCAAGCAGCTACATCAGGTGGTCAAGATTTTTCGCTTGGACCTAACGATGCCATAGACTGCAGCGCATGCCCAGCAGGCACGTATCGGTCTCGCGTGTGCACTGACATGGCCGACCGTGTTTGCATGGCCTGCTCTGTGTGCGGGAGCGATCATTATGCCGCCACTCCATGCTCAGCAACGAGCAACACGAAGTGTCACCGTAGGGAATTCAGCATGTTGTACACTTGACGGTGATGTGTGGGCTAGGGTGTCACCAGTGCCACTACAACCAGTACGCTTCGACACCTTGCACCCCGTTGCAAAATCGAAAGTGCACTGCTTGTACGCGGTGCACGGACGACCAGTACGAGTACTCCGCGTGCACGACCGAAGCAGACCGAGTCTGTTTGACTTGCGACTCGTGCGTGTTGACATCGCTGCAAGAACAACAGTGCAAGAAAAGTGCCGCATTTGAAAGGCGGAAACGATCTCCATACGGGTGAGCTATGGATTCCCCGTCCCACCAGCGCACGATGGAATTGTCATGTGCAAAATTAGGTGTCCAGCCGTGAATGCGTATCCGACGGAAGAAGCGAGATTGCAACGGGCCAAGGCCAACTTGTGTGGTGCTGGGAGATGCTCATGCACCGGCAATGGAGTCGGAAATGCCAACCCCAACGGCTTTTCCTTCCCCAACGACCCGCGCTGCTCAGGACCGTCCAACTACGGCATCCTTCTCTGAAACCCCGAAACCCGCACCCGCTGTTTAGTAATACTATTAGTATTCGGCGGTCGTCGAAGTCATGACGATGCGATCGACCAATCGGTTTCGCTTGCTTTTCTACCAATAACAAGTCCTTAATCTCGAATTTTGAGCCAATCAGAGACATATTTTCGCGGACTCATGTTGCCTGGTGCACATCCAACCTGCCCTTCAAACATGGCAGCGCAACTCCGACTGCCCGTGCACCTGCGGCGCGTTCTATCACGGAACTTTGCGTCGAAACCAGAAGCGCAGGCATGGACCACTCGAAAGAACGCGACCGGGTCAGACAATGCGAAACCTGCTGCTGCCGCCTTGCCTTCAGGTCGAAAGACTTGGGACAAGGTGTTGAAAGCATGGGTGCCGTACGTGGAAAAGGCAGCGACTACATCGTCACCTCCGCCCACGTTTTCGCAAGGCAAAACAATCAATGGAACTGGCACAACTCGGCAGTCGTGGTTGAAACCTTCTGCAGCCAAAGTTGACGACACACCCCGCTTCAAATTGTTTGGAAAAGGCGGCGAGATTCAAGTGGACTCGACGGCAGTTTCTTCTTCTGAAGGACGACCTCGACCACCGCAAAAACAACAGCAGCCGCAGCAGAAGAAGAGCTTCAAGTTCGAAAAGAGCCTCTTTTCCAAGGATTACTTCCCCGATGTGTCGTGGAACTCTTCCGCTTCGGCCGCCGACCAATCCAAGAAATCGCCACGGCAAAACTACCAGCAGCGCAACAACATCACACACCATCATAAGCGCCACCACGGGCGAAAACGGTCCAACGTGGCCAAGGTCCCTCAGCGTGAGATGAAAGTCGAAATCCCAACCGTCATCACAGTCGAAGATCTCGCAGAGCGCATGTGCATTAAAGCCCACCTTCTTTTGCGCACCCTGCGAAGTATGGGGGAAAAGAACTTGACCGAATCGTCTGGTACGTGATCTCTTTACCACATGCCTTGACGACGGTGTCGGACGTTTAGAACTGTCGGCAACCGTGGCGGAGCTTGCCGTTGAAGATATGGGCATGACTCCCATCATGGTGCAGGGCTTTGTCGACCTTAAGCCGACCCCCGTCCCTGACAACTGCGACGGCCTTCCCGCTCGTCCTCCCATCGTGACGGTCATGGGGCATGTTGATCATGGAAAAACAACGCTTCTCGACGCACTGCGCAAAACGACCACCAAAGAGCACGGAGGCATCACGCAAAAGATCGGGTCTTTCACTGTTCCGATTGAGGACAAGTCCATCGTGTTCTTCGATACACCTGGTAAAGGTTGCAACGATGCCTTTCGACTTAACCCCTTGGATAGGCCACGCAGCGTTTGCAACGATGCGGGCCCAGGGCTGCTCGTTGACTGACATTTTGGTTGTCGTGATCGCGGCGGATGACGGAATCCAGCCCCAGACGAAGGAGGTGCTGCGCCTGGCCGTCGAAAATGCCGTGCCGCTCATTGTGGCCGTGACCAAATGCGACCGATACCCCGGTCAAGAAGCCGAGATCGTCAAGCGGGTGACCAAGGAGGTCCAAATGGAGGGCATCGGCGAGGAAGACATGCAGCTCGTGTGTGTTTCAGGGAAGACGGGCGACGGGATCGATGAACTCAAGCAGGCCATTCTCCTCCAAGCAGATATCATGGAGCTGCGGGCAGACCCGTCCAAGCCCGGCGAAGGCGTGGTTGTGGAAGGCAGTGTCGTACGAGGGTGAGTCAGGCATGTCGACCTCTGGAATAACTCTTCGTAGATGGGGTGTGACTGTCGACGCGATGGTAACGTGGGGCACGCTGCGCGTGGGCCAGTTGGTCGTGTGCGGGCTTGAGTACGGCAAGATCAAGTCGTTAGTAGATGAGCACGGAAAGCACTTGCAGGCCGCAGGGCCAGGGACGCCCGTGCGGGTCGTCGGTCTGAAGGATCTACCCAAGACTGGCCAAACTATTCTGCCCGTTGAAACCGAAGACGAAGCCAAGGTTGTCGTATCGGAACGAGCGCGCATCTTGGAACAGATTGCGATGAAGGAGGCAGAAGCCGAGGCGGCACGACTGAGGGAAGGCGAGGCGGCTCACGTGTCACTCGGAAGAAGGGGCAAGGCACGACAGCTGGAGCTACAGCGCCAAGAGCGAGCGAAAGAAGAGGAACGGCTGGAATCCCTTACTCCAGATGACGAAGGTTATGTACCCAAGGTCATTCCCGTGGTTCTCAAAGCGAATGCGTTGGGGATTATCGACGCCATCGACCACATGATCACGGAACTCAACACCCTTAGCCGCGAATGCGTCCTCAAGTGCATTTTCTCAGGCGTGGTATGGTGCGACCAGATGCGTGTCGTAGTTGAAGCTCTGTGCGTAGGGCCCCGTGTCAACGTCCGATATTGACTTGGCGGCGCGAACCAACGCGACAATCTTTACATTCAATACCCGCCAGCCATCCTTGATCGAGAAGGATGCTCTTCGTACGTGATTCACACGGCGAAGGAAGGCGGGAGGTTGATAGCGCCATGTAGGCAAACAAGTGGCGATCAAGTCGCACAACATCATCTACTCCCTCATGGACGACATCGAGACCTTGATGACAAGCCAGATGACGCATCTCGACCAGGAAGAAAGCATTGGTGCCGCCGAAATCCTCGAGTTCATCCCGATCAACCTGAAGGGCCGGCGAAAGGCGAGCATTGCCGGCGTCCGCGTGACGGACGGGTCGCTCGTCATGGACGCCAAGTACCGCATTGTCCGCGACGGCGAAGTGTTGTCGGAAGACTTGTCGCTAGAAAGCATGCGCCATTTCCAGGACAAGATCTCGGAATCCCCAAAGGGTCAGGAATGCGGCGTTCAGTTCACAGACGGAGAAGTGACGTTCAAGGCTGGCGACATCCTGCAAGCCTACCGGTCGATCAAAGTCCGTCCGAAACTGCTGAGATGAGACTTTGGGAGGTACATTATAGCAAACTAATCGCATATATCGAACACAACGCGAGAATGGTCGACGATTCGTATCGCACCGCAACATGCCCGTCCGTCTCGGCATTCCAAAAGCACGATGTGTTGGTGTGGAAGCCTCCGTTCTTCTTCTGCAGGATCGTTACGTTAACGATAAACTTGAACCCTGCCGCGCCTTCGGCAAGATTCTTGAGTGAGTGAAGGCAGCTATGCGTGATGTCGTGCACCCATGTTGGGGCCTCGACCGGATGATACGTCTTGTCCTTGAGAACCGCCTCCAGTGTCTACAGCATCAAAAGGTAATGGCTGTATGCACGATCGTAGGTAGGGCCTCGCAAGAGGCGCTTACCTGCAGCGCCACGCGTTTGACTTCGCCTTGGATCGTGTTGAAGTAGTAGATCGGTTCGGGCTCTTGGTCCATGCTTGTCGTCATCGGTTGATGGCAGCGCCAAGTTCACTTTCCACCCAGATCAGTGAAGTCGATGCTTCATTGGCTAAAATGAATATAACAATCCCTTCAAATATCAAATTTTCAGTGTTTTTCTTTACTTGCATCGTGGATTCAGGCGACTTACATTGACTTGAATTGGTTATAATTATCTTTACTGATTTACATTGGTAAAAATAAGCAAAGTTTTTCGCCAATTTTATGACATTGTAAAGTAACTTAAACAAGTCTTGACTGCCATGAGTGGCATGAGTGGTAAAAATAAGCAAAGGTTTTCGCCAATTTTATGACATTGTAAAATAACTTGAACAAGTCTTGACTGCCATGAGCTCGAGCATCGAGGGTTCCTTTAGTCAACGCCCAAGCACCGACGACACCTTCGAGGACTGCTCCCTCGAGTCGATCTCTTCATGAGATAAGCACCACAGTGCTTGCAGGATCGCGATGTTGTGCTATCGTCAGTAGATGCATGTCGAGTTTGCAGCATCACAAGGCAAGATCATTCTACCGAGGAACGGTGCTGTGGCAGCATTCAGCCGTCGTGAAATAAAGCGCTCCAACGTTCCCAACACAGTTATGTAACTCAAGTCCAGCTGCCCCTAACGCGGATAAGATTCTAAGCGTCATCGATCTCTACAGCAGCAGAATGACTCAGGGAACTCTTGTGTCTCTTTCATGCACATATCCATGCGTTCCCAAACTCATTGCGGTACGTGACCAGTCTTTGTCTGCATCGAAGGACGAAGCGCGGTATCTCAGCTGCCGCTACTGTGTCCAAAGGCTCAACATTCCGCCGCAGAGAGTCGGGGTATACTGCTCCAACTTGTACGCAATACATTGACGCCAGTGTCATTTCAAGTCAGTCGTTGTTACCCAACGTCATCGTCATTCTCTTCGTCGGGTTGACGGTAATCGTCACGATCCATGGCGTGGCGCCTCTTGAAGCTTCCAATCCACGACTCGCTAGCCTTGAACACGTCAGTACTGAGTCCCTTCGCCTTCGCTTCTTCCAAAGCTTTCTCACGGAGCATGCTGTGAGTCACCGGCACGCCGTTTGAGCGCAAATCGCAGATCCAGCGCACCAACCGGTCTTCGCTTTCTACTCCAAGCGTGCTGCTCACTCCATGCGGCCGCGTGCATCGATGGGATGCACGAGAAGGATCCAACGCGCGGGCTTCAATCGTCTTTCTCGTGGCGATCCACGTGTGTACGTTCTTCCGCGCAGATTCCCTCGCCAGTCCAACAACGTTCGGGTAGAAATGGTCCATCGTGCGAGGCATTCCATTCTCTGCATGAAACTCGATCACACGGAGCTTTTCTTCGTACGTGAGTCGCTTCCGTTGAAGACCTGTGGCCTTCTTTTTGGCCGGGAGGTCCTCATTCCCAGGCAGTCGCGGCCGGCCTCGTCCAGACGGCATG